ATCCGATGTATATTTGACAGTTTGCGGTTATTAAAATAGAAAAGCACTAAAGGTTTTTCAGGTAGAGTGTTTTCAGCTTGTTTATTTTCATATAAAAATACGGCATGCAGTTGCATCTAACAATGGTATAAACATCATTCAATGTAAATTGTGATAATTGTAATTAATAATCGCAATTACAATTTCAAGGGAATAATCGACAATTAGGATTTTTGTTATAATCGTGCAGCCCTATTTTAACGTTTTTAATATTTAGTTGATTTATTGCCAATTTTCTATATTTTACATTTAGATTGCCTACACAATTATCTAACATGGACAAGTAATAATTTAATAACATTATTAAATGTAATCTTCAGCAAATTTAACATTTTTGATGCCTAAATTCATTTGTAGTATTTTTAATTGTTCAGTTTTAGGGTTTTATTACCAGTTCTTTTAGACTGAATAGTATAGAATTTTATAATCATCAACTATCAGCCATCACATGAAAATAAATGTTGTTTTGGCGGTGTCTGCTGGATTATTAACATTGGTGGCTAGTTCACGCTCATTCGCCTCTAGTCTTCTCCGCGGTTGCAGCTCTTAATTCTCATTCGTCCATGCGTTTAGCCACATGACACACGACCATCAACGATGTTTGGCATTTGATGACGTTAAACCTGATATAAACCTAAATGCGCCATATTTAAATGTCAACACAAATGTCTCTTTAAAGGAATATCTCCTTTTGTGTTCTACGGAAGAAAGCGATACGAGTTTGAATTAGGCTTGCCGCGATAGACGGTGTTGACGGTGATACTGGTAAAAGAGGAGAAATTCAAACGAACTAAAAACGAACAATTGCTTTACGCCGAATTGCCGCTATTTCAAAGTGAAAGTAAAATGCGCACGCCGCTTTTACAAGCTATTTAAAAGCGAAGGAAAGCGAGGAAAAGAGGGAACGCCCCGCCCCCGCGGTGATACCGGTATTACCGGTGTTGTCACACGTCAATTAACCGGTGGGAAAATTTCCTCACCGTCACAACCCTAATTTGAATGACAGTTGGCGACAAAATGAGAGTTTTGGTGTTTGCGTGAACTGTCCCTTGATTCTTTTTCATTAAGCTCATCATTGAAACCCGCCCCGAGAGGTGGTCTTAGCTTTTGGCATCCTTTTCTCCCAGTTTTTCTACTCCATCTCACCCTTTCTCTGTTTTCCTGTCGCTCAGCCTGCGCTCGTAGCGGAAGTGCTCTAATTTGAGACCGATTTCTCCTCAGATCTTTGGAGCCTGAGGGAGGAACTGAGGAAACCGGATTGTTGATTCACTGCAGCATCAGCCCAGTCTGTTTTTCTCCACTTCCCACTCCTCCACTTATAAAGCTGATGGAAAACACCAGCAGATAATGTCGCTTTGTGAGAGGGACAAACTCGCAGCTTTAGTTCAGATGCTAGCGTCCTCTCACACAAGACGAGTACAGGAAGTGCTGATGGCTTTCTGGAGAGTTCCTGACTTAAACACACAGCAGGCTGATGGTGCTGCATACGTGGATGGGCTGTGACCCCCGTTTGACTCCCTGAGGAGCTCGCGACGGACCTGCGCTAGCCAAACAAGCACAGATGTGCAACAGAGGCTGTTTATACCAGCGTGTCGTCAGAAATGAGTGTCAGTGCTTATAACGGTGAATCTAATTAAATGGTTCACCTCACAATCAAAATAAATAAATAAATTATATTTTGTAGAATTTTTGTATACTTATCATTACTGTAATACAGTATTGAAAATCATATAAATCAGAAAATGTATATATAAATACATTTTAAATGATGCTAAACATTTAGCAAATCTCAAAATTAATATAAATACATTTTATAAAAGGGTCAAAGACGTAAGGATGTCCGCATCAAAAGAAATTTACAAAAGTGATTATATGTCCATAGAAAGCACATTAAACATAAGTAAAGTGTCTACTTTTAAGTCTTTGGAGAATAAAATGTTCAAATTTGGTTGAAATAATGTTACGTTGTCATTCAGTGTAACACAATATTTATGTAAAAATTCAAACAACATGCTTATTCTGATGTGCACATACTAAAATATATAAAAGAATAAGGGAGCATATTAAATTTTATTGTTTTAAATGAGTAACAATTCTTACTGACAAAAGGGCAAAACCTAGGATAGTGGCAAATTAAAAAAAAATTAAAATTACAACTAATTAGTATTGGGGGTGAAAGTAATTAGTCTTTTAATGTCATAAATTGATTTTTGTTGTAAATATGCCTGACAAGATTGTTACACTGAATGACATTTTAGTGGGTCTCTTCTGTAAATCAGGGGAATGTATGAATCAAAAGAAATTTACAAAAGTGATTTTATGTCCATAGAAAGCACATTAAACATAAGTAAAGTGTCTACTTTTAAGTCTTTGGAGAATAAAATGTTCAAATTTGGTTGAAATAATGTTACGTTGTCATTCAGTGTAACACAATATTTATGTAAAAATTCAAACAACATGCTTATTCTGACGTGTACATATTAAAATATATAAAAGAATAAGGGAGCATATTAAATTTGATTGTGTTTTAAATTAGTTAAAATTCTTACTGACAAATGGGCAAAACCTAGGATAGTGGCAAATTAAAAAAAAATTAAAATTACAACTAATTAGTATTGGGGGTGAAAGTAATTAGTCTTTTAATGTCATAAATTGATTTTTGTTGTAAATATGCCTGACAAGATTGTTGCACTGAATGACATTTTAGTGGGTGTCTTCTGTAAATCAGGGAAAAATGTATGATATTTATTTTTTGCTCTGAAAAACAAAAACAAAATTGCGATTAAATTAAACAGAAAACTTTTTAAATTTTTTTGGGAAAAACAACAACGAATTAAAGCAGTATTACACTTATTGTTTTTATGCTTAAACCCTTTTTTGTCTTTGACCCATAAATAAGCAACAATACATTTGAATAAGAAACAATACATTTTAGTTTTTAATGTTGTATTTCTAATTTATTTAGACAGTAGTATAGAATTTCAGATTTGTTTGGCTTTTTTATTTTATGACAATGTCATTAATAAAGAAAATTGACTGAAAAAAAAACAGATAAAACTAACTAAAATTATTTTTAATACTTTTATACACACACACACACACATACATAATTTTTATATATAATATATAATATAATTTTTAATGTCATCAAACTTTAACTAAAATAGCCATTATTATTTTTGTTTATTGTTGGGTTGAAATATGACTCCTGGTATTTCTTTGAATTTCCCCCTATTATTGCTGAATCTGTCTTTGCATTATCTAGTTTTTTTAAGCTGATATTGAGCATCTGCGGGTTTCATTTAGGGGAGTTAAAATGATTTTCGAGGTCTGTTCATTGCAGATTGTTTTTAATTAGTTTGTGCATCGAGCGAGCATGTGATGTGCTCACAGTCTTGAGCAGTTGAAGAGGGCTCTGTGGTTTACAGTCACTGTCATTGGAGGCCTTTTGATGTCTCGATTTTTTTAGTTGAAAGAATGTCTTGTTTTCCGCTCGGCTTTAAGCCCAGTTTTTTACAATAGAAGTGCAAGTGATTTTTCTTTCCTGTTTTTACAGTTTTGCTTGCATCTCCTTCATTCATACACTTGGGCACATTGTGCAAAATCTAAAAAAAAATTCAGATGAGACAATATATCTAGCTGCGTTTTCTCATTCTTGTATGATTTTTGTAGGCAACTGTACGCCAGCTGTCATGTGGACATGTACCATATGACAAATATTCTTTATTAAAGGAACACTCTACTATTTTTGAAAATAGGCTCATTTTCCAACTCCCCTAGAGTTAAACAGTTGAGTTTTACCGTTTTCGAATCCATTCAGCCGATCTCCGGGTCTGGCGGTAGCACTTTTAGCTGTAGCTTAGCATAGATCATTGAATCTGATTAGACCATTAGCATCTCGCTCAAAAATGACCAAAAAGTTTCTATATTTTTCCTATTTAAAACATGACTCTTCTGTAGTTACATCGTGTACTAAGTCCGACAGAAAATGATATTTCGCAGCGCCTGAAAATAGGCTAACTTCCGTCAACATAACCAACGTGACCACCTGCTTGCACAGGGAGCGTGCTGGGGACTATTTTCTGGCGCTGCTTAATATCATTGCGCCTGCTGCAACCATGGTAGCAAAGTTCCTTGATTATTACGCCGGAAGTACACGATGTAACTACAGAAGAGTCAAGTTTTAAATAGGAAAAATATCGAAACTCTTTTGAACGAGATGCTAACGGTCTAATCAGATTCAATGATCTATGCTAAGCTACAGCTAAAAGTGCTACCGCCAGACCCGGAGATCGGCTGAATGGATTCGAAAACGGTAAAACTCAACTGTTTAACTCTAGGGGAGTTGGAAAATTAGCCTATTTTCAAAAATAGTGGTGTTCCTTTTAGTACATTTAAGCAACTTGTAAACACCGTGGTGTATGAATATGGTCATCATTCAGTACCATTATGTATATTTAAATATTAATCATCTGAAACAATACATTGTCCACGATACTACCACAACACCACTTTAAAAAAAATTTTTTTTTTTACAAGACTTAGGTTGTTTGTTTGTCACACTTTCATGTCATTCATTTACCTTGCATAAAATCCACCTATTCATAACCATAGGTTGCTTTTAAATGGAGTACAGCCTTATATTGGAGAACAATATGATGAACTCACCATAGGAAACAACTAATCTAAGTCAGCTCATGTTGCACTCAGAGGAAAGACTTGAAAATGGAAGGGAAGTGGATGTAGTGTGTTGGGCGGGTGGAATATAACTTTAGATGGAACTCTGTTGGGTTTTACAAGTTGTAATGGTTGCCAGTTAGTTGCAAATGACAGCTTTTGGTCAAACTTGATTTAAAAGTTAATGTTTAAAAGCCATACAAAGCATGCAGCTTCCTTCCTGAGCAACTTGCATAGGAATCCAGGAAAATTCCTAATTTTGTATTCAGGAAATGCACCATGGCTCAATACAATGTGTTTTGTTCTTTCAGCAGCACATCCATGGATTCATAGAGAATATCAGAGACTTGGGGTGGGCCAAAACCTCTTTGCATTATGGTGGCAAATTTTGACAAGCATAATTAACATTTTCTTCAACACATGCACAGATCTGTTTTTAAAAAGTACAATTTCAAGTGTTAAAAAAGCGTATACTTAAGTGGGATACACCCGCCATGTGTGATCCAACCTGTTTGCGAAATTGTGTGTTTGCGCTGATGTGGTTGGTTACTGTCTAGAAGTGTTAGTTAAGAGAATTGAAAATAAACTTGTGTAAACTGCCCATGTCAGCTCCCTAGAGACCATGTAGACTGACTAATCCGATGACTGAGTGGGTGGATTACTTTCCCTGTCTCGTGAAACAACATCAGTCGTATCACGCTCAAGAAAACCACCACGACCACTGGTCTGAACATTCACACACCCAACATCAGTTGCATTTTTTAACAAGTGACAACTTGAAATTTGCCTTTGAAATCCTTGTATATTTGAACCTGCATTTAAGTCCAGATTTGCATTTATTCACACTTCTTCATTCAAATTTTTTCATGAATTAGATTAATGAATTAGATCACTTGAAAGTGAACATTGTCATTTACTCACCCTTATGTCTTTCCAAACTGTATGACTTTCTTCTGGATAAATTAAGAATTGTTCTATTCACTCTTTTCGATAGTTAAGCTTTCAAATCACAAAAACACTATAAAAATACAATAAAAACAATCCAAACAACTTTTTCACTTATATTCCAGGTCTTACGAAGCCGTTCGATAGGTTTGCATGATGAGACTCATTAGATGTTCTTTTTGATGTTACTGAAAATGTAGCAATGCGCTAACTTCTTTTTATTTGATCTGTTTATAAAACCTTTCTGAATGATTCTGTCATAAATCATACTGATCTGGTTCTCATCAGCTCGCTGACCTAATGATATGGTCACGACAGCTCATAGGAAGGGAATGGCATGAGAGTGAATAAACTGTAACAGAATTTTCATTTTTGGGTGAACTCTCCCCTTAAGAAAAGCCTTTTGAATTTGTAGACGAGTTGAACTCATGCTGTCAGAAGATTCACACACCCGTGGTTACATGCACCAACACGTTCACGCATGGGGCACTAAATGCTCCAGTTAGTATCGCTCGTACACTTCACATTCACTTCCTGCTCACATTGACCATGCAAATGTCAATCCCCCTTAATCGGACATAGCTTGGAGGCCAGAGGCAAATACGTCTTGGTTTGGGATTTCATACATTTGTAATGCAAATCAGGCAGTAGAGGTATCCGCAAGCACAGAGTAAATTCTTCTGGCCTCGAGCTTTGATAAGCATCTCTCTCAATGCAGAAAGAGCCATTGGAAAAGCTTTGTTCTCACTCTGTTAACCTTTAACCCCTGAGCAAGCATGAAGTAAATTGGGTGATTTCCTTTTAGATTAGGTAAGAGTGGTTTCAAGGTTTCACCTGCTTTTTGGGTGAGAAGTTTTGTTAAATCACATCTGGTAAGTATTATTCTTGAACCGTGCCTACAGGTATATTAATTTGAAATATAAAGGCTGAGTTTGCCTACTTCCATGTTGAAAACAGGGTAAACCAGCTTAAAGTAATTTGGTGTGGTTTGGTTTCCCCTGGTGAGAATGGTTTAGTCTGATGGTTTTAGTGGGGGTTGGCTTACTTTGAGCAAACCATCTTAGACAAGCAAACAAACAACCTTGGGCTAGTTTAAGCTGTTTTTTAGCAGAGATACTATTGTAATACCATGGTATTCTATAAATTACCATGGTACTACCATCCAGTACCATAATTTTGTTGCTGTGCTTTTTTTGTAAAGTGTGTAAAGAGAAAGAGTGTTTATCTGTCCTTGGCCTTTGGATTGGGCCGGTACAAACTTCACTGCCAAGTGGACATTCCTGCACGGTAACACTATTCACAAACCTTTGCAAAACCCGCCAACATGGTCAGATATTCTCCATTAATCCTCTAGACCGGCCCACTTGGCTTGACCTAATGTGGTCAGACGAGCCGGAATCCTCGACAGTATCCATGAACCTAACCCAACACTCCCTCGCTCATTCCTTCCTCATGGAGGAGGACGAAGGGTGTGGTGATCATTCCAGTGTCTCTTTGCAGTTAATTGTACTTTTCTCTGAATAACAGAACTAGACCACACAGCTGTGCGAGACAGGTGACAAATGATAAAGAACCTTTCTTAGAGTAAACGTGCACCCTTGTATCATGGTGGCTATATTTTTTGCATCGTCACAAAGCAAGCATTTCTTTTTGTTTGCAGAATTGTTCTGTTGCTCTTACATGCTTGTTCACATGGGAATAATTGAATCATCTCCATGAAGGCAAAAATACACAGCTTGTCATATGATCTATGAGTGGTAAAAAGTGGTGAGAACATGATTAGTTGGTTGTAATTGGGTGGTTTTGAAACTGGACCAGCGCCCGTGTTTACTAAGAGAGGACACATTGCTCAAGCAGGCGGGAGCTGATAGCTACTGTGTACCCCTGTCAGTATGAAAACACAAGCCTGACTGCACTGTAACATGTGTTTGGACAAGTTCTCCTTTCACTCGTGCCCTGCCTGTTGGTGCCTGTATCAAAATACAATGCTCACAGATAATTTCAAAAAGAATGGAATGAATGCAGGGTGCGGGGTGATGAAATTACCCCCTGAAGAGACTGTCTCAACACATTTTTCATTTCTGAATATGGCTTTCCATTGACAGATGCCTTTAGTTAAATGTGTTTTTTTTGTAGTGGACAGTAGATATGAGCTTTTTCTCAATATAAAAAAGAACTGATAAAAACCATTTGAAGGTGTCAGGTGTATGCAGAAGCAGTGAGTGAGTGAGTAAGAAAAGTGACACGTGGCCAAGTATTGTGTTCCATACTCTGAATTTGTGCTTTGCATTTAACCCATCCAAGTGCACCCACACAGTAGTGAACAGTAGTGCACACACTGGAGTAGTGGGCAGCCACTTTTGCTGCAGCGCCCAGGGTGAAATTGGGGGTTCAGTACCTTGTTCAAGGGTACCTCATTTGGCGCTGTTCATTCACTCCCTCCTAACCTACAATTCCTGCCATTACCAAGACTCGAACCTGGGACTTTCAGGTTACAAGCACGACTTTATAACCATTAGGCCATGACTGCCCCCTTGAAACGAAGACTGTTCACAAAGTTGAGCAGCAAAATTACGTTGCCTTGTACCTTGTATTTGCCACTTTCTAAAGCAGTATCTTATGTATTCTTCTTGAAGGCAATCCTAGAATGCAGCAACAAGCTCTCTGAAAAGGTGATTTGTTAACAAATAAGGTGGACTTAATGAAACATTGCAGTCCCCTAGTTGCTACATTGCTTTAGTTTCAATGAAGTTGAACTCTGCTCAATTTTGTTGCGTTGCCAATTTTCTTGGGCGTCCACACTGACTGCAGTTTTCATCTGCAATGCCACAAGTACAAGTAGTTGACTACAAAGAAGGGACACAAATTGTGTATTTGGGAAAACCTGAATGGCTGTTCTTTCTTTATGTATGCAGGAATTGGCAAGGTGAAACGGAAGACAGGCATGCGTGAAACGGCCTCCAACGCGGACTCTGACTTCTACCCGGACAATGGCGAACGTCTGTATGACCTAAACCTTCCTGCGCTAGTCAAATTCAGCTACATGGCCGAGCGGGAAGATGAGTTGACGTTGGTTAAGGGCACAAGGGTCATTGTCATGGAGAAGTGCAGTGATGGCTGGTGGAGAGGGAGCTACAATGGCCATTCGGGATGGTTTCCATCCAACTACGTGACGGAGGATGCAGATGGATCGGCAAGCAACGACTCTGCCGGCTTGTCGGAGAAATTGGCTGCTGATGCTCACAGTGCAAATGGCAACCGGGTGCTGCACACAGTACAGGCACTCTACCCGTTCAGCTCGGGCAACGATGAAGAGCTGATCTTTGAGAAGGGGGAGGTTATGGATGTTGTGGAGAAACCAGAGAATGACCCTGAGTGGTGGAAGTGTCGCAAAGCCGACGGGCAGATGGGACTTGTGCCGAAGAACTACGTGACTGTTCTGCAGGAGTTGCACAACTCAGCCAGCATGGCCGGGCCGCCCACACCTGACTGTGACTACATTGAGCCTTCATCCAGTGGACGCTTCGCTGGCAAGCAGTGGTACTACGGGAAGGTGACGCGTCATCAGGCAGAGGTGGCACTCAACCAGAGGGGCACAGAGGGAGACTTTCTTATCCGGGACAGTGAGTCCTCAGTAAGTAGACAGAAACGTTCCTCCTTGTATTCTGATAAATATGCTAAGAATTAGTGATTGACCGATATTGATATTTTATAACCGATACCAATTATTTGCATGTTTATGTGCCCAATAACCGATATGCAGAACCGATATTTATTTACTGTTATAAAGTAAATAAATGACTGAGTAAAGTAAGTCCATGCTTCACTTTGGTTTTTCTTCCTTTCAGTCATCTTAAAAAAAAAAAGTGTTGAAAATTAGCAGTCTTTCATGTTAAAATTAATCTTCATACTACAACAATAAAAAAACATTTTATTTAAAGCATCAGCAGCAACACTAATATTAACAATAAGCAAAATAAATGTAGACGGTCTAATGTTTTCAAATGGAGAAAATAAATAAAGGAAAGGAGTCATATCCAACTTCATTTTAAACTACAGTTTTAGTAGGTTTATAAGCTGTTTAATAGCTACAGAGTCAAGAATAATTCACTGGATAATGTTAATTCACTAAATAATATTCTCTGGAATATTGAAATATAACAAAAAAAACATCGTATTTTATTGCATTGCTCAACTGGCATGTTATATAAAAATTACTAATAATGTTTTTGTCGTTCTAGATTATGAAATGCCTGCTGACAGTGCAGTTTACCTACGCATTTACACAGAACTATACTCAAACTGCGATCGCTCGCGGAGATAATAAATAATTAATTTCCACAGAGTTGTATCCATTTAGATATTTATTAGCGAAATAATGGTTATATAGTAAATGTTAATACAATTTAGGGTGTTTTAAACAAGTGAATCTTGTTAAAAGTTACATGCGGTGGCCATGCTGAGCATAGACAACAGACAGAGAATTAAATTTAGCGTTTTTATTTCCAACATGCGCTCATTCATGGCTGTATTTAACTCATGCAAAGTTACATCTTTATTGGGAGAGGACTTGACAGATTATTTTACGTGACTCCG